TTATTGTACATAAATTAAATTATAATAAAATTGGATTAAAAAATTACACAAAAAAAATCAGGAATTTCAAATACTTAATTTGATACTAATATCGATATATTTTTTGTCAAATTTTTATGATATCGTCAAACATATATTTTATTCAAAAATAAAAACATCATCACTTTYTYAAAATCACATAAAGYCATATTATAACATCGACTGAGATAAAGAATAAAATAAAATATTAAAAACACGATATATCTCGCTGCATTGCGCGAGTACGCTTCTAGTAATAAAATAAACCTAAAACTCATAGGTTCTTCTTATCTAAATATGTAAAGTATATAATTTTAAATTCTAATATAAAAAGGGACTACTTATTGTTTGTTACAAAATAATAGACTTTTATTTGTGAAGACACATTTTATTTATTAAAATCAATTTTACGGGTCGTTTAATAAACGCTTACCCGGTAAGTACTTATCGGGTAATTTTCCTCACCGGATGAAACATGACAAGAGTCAAGAATCTAACCGGTAAGAGCGATGATAAAGATGGAGAGTCTTACCCGGTAAGTGAGGGTGACGACTCTTACCCGGGTAAGTGCTTACCAGGTAAATTTTTGTATATGATACGTTTTGATGTACTACAATCTTACACAATAAAATAAATTATAGCGTTGACTCCTATTGTTAAGCACTTACCGGGTAATCATTTAGGTAAACGGTCCCTTACTCTAACTTGAAGATGTTAGCTCTTTTTCAATTGGCACTAATGTTAGCCTATATTTAAGAGAAAAAAATTGATTATCTGCAATTCCAATCAATTCATACGGAACCTGTCTTTAAAGACACTGATGTAAAATGACATTTTTTAAACTCATTCAACTGATGAGGCTGGCAGGGACGTCGTCTGGGATTGAACCCAAAATTTGTCTTGTTTTTATATAAGTGACGTAAAATCCCTAATCCAAGTGATCCTAGTGGCATCAAATTCATGTCCAACCTTCCATAAACATTTTTAAAAAATGTCAAAACCTCCCAAATTATGCACTGCTATAAAATAGATACGATAGAATCTGGATTTAAAGAAAAATTAACTTTATAATTTTTATAAGAATAAGTAACTTAGACATCGAAAGCGTAGAAATTAGGCATCGGATGTAGCCCCATGTGCCCGATACTTTACACCGTTATATGTCGGTAATTGGTTAACACATGTCGTTATTTGATTGGTGAACAAGTGATAATAAAACGCTCATGACAAGTGATAATAAAACTTGAGAGTTTTATTATCGTGAAAAGAAAAATTAACCAGTATAGTCAATCTATTCAAATCAATTCACTTTATAGTCATCTTTTGAAATAGTCAGAATTCACACAAACATAGGCAAACCATCTTTTTCTAATTAAAAAAAGGGAAAAAGATGGGATTTATGCAAATTGGGATAAACCTTATTTGGGTAAATTAAATATTTTTAATTTTTGAATCATATTTTATATTCTTATAATTAATTATTTAATTTATTTCTTATTTCTTATTTTTTCAGTTTTCATTTTATATTTTTATTATATTAATATATATAAATTATATATTAACTAAAATACATGAAAAAAAATATGTTTTTTTTTTTTTTACAAATTATATTATTAATCAACACTTTCGAAATATGTTTAATATTGAATATTTTTTGATTTAATCATATCATTAAATATCATAAATATTTAATACTTACACTTTATATCCTTCTAGTTACAAATTAAATTAAATATGGGAATTGCATATCATAACACATGGGTTGTTTTAAACAACTTGTTTATGTAAGTGATGGCCAAACCGGCCCGGCTCGGGATCGTCGGAGGACCAGAACCGGAGTTGTAGGACCGCCAGTTACAACCGGTTTACTGTTTTCGTCGTTTTTTGGGACCGAGACCGGTTATGAGACCGGCCCGGCCAACAAAGTCAAACTAGTCGTTAAGATGGTCAAACTAGCCGTTAGGTTGGGAGCGGGATCGGGACCAACTTGGCATAACCAGTTATAGGTATTTCGACCGGAACCGGAACTGGTTATAGAAGAACCGGTTACGGCCGGTTAAAGGATTCTTCAGGCCCGGTAGGGCCCTGCCCGGCCTAGGACCGGTTTTTGGCCATCACTAAATTGTAATACAACAAAAACGTGAGCCCAAAATGTTGGTAACAAAACCAAAGGCCTAGTCCCATTACTCAAAAAAAAAAAGAGAGATAAGAACTCCATATCCAACTATTTACATCAAAAAGCTCGAGTTATAACTTAACCAAAAACCGTATCTGAGCTTCCTCCATGACCCGAATCTTGATAGCCCGAAGAGACCACGAACCTATTTGGGTTAGCCGGATAAAAGGCCTCACGAAGCTCGTTATATTTTTGAAGATCAAAATTGTGCACCTTCATGAGCTTCCTTTGCTTTGTTTTAAAGCGACGTTGAAAGTAGCCTTCAAAAGTGGGCTCTTTTGATGTCCGTAGGAAAAACATGTAGGCAAGTGCAAAATGAAAAGACGTAACGAAGAAACAGATGGGTTCCATCACATCCCAACTAAGTTCCCAAAACGTTAGCCTCATAAACGCCAATGTTTGAATGATTAGAAAACCGAGACCACAATAAAGCTCACCACGAACTTGGGATAGCGATTGTTTATCAATGAACGCCTTTTGCTGCTCCAGTTCTTCGAGTTGCTGTTTTCTTGGGTCATTTGGAATCGCCATAGTTTGTAATATCACTTTCTCCATTGATTTTGCTAACTGTAACGAATATATTTATAACAATCGTTATATTTAAATTTTGGTATAAAATTCAAAATATCTTGCTTACGATGGTTTAAATTTGTGTATTTTAAATTAGGACATGACTCGTAGGATTGAGTTCCGGTGAGAAGCATAAAAAGTGATCTCCACCTTTGGAACAATCCTAATTGAATGTCAACATTTATGAGGTGCACCAAGATGCACCACATCAATTCTCTCCCAAAGCATAATTTATGGGTGAACATGAGATTGAAAATTGAATCAGTATTTTATCAAATTGAATCAATTCTTAATCAATATATGCTAGAACTAAATTATGAAATTGAGTTCATAATTTGATCAAAAGATATAGCAGTTTATACCTGATCGGGACGGAGGAACACAACGTTGCCCAAGATGATGACGTCTCCAGCTTGATCTAACGTTTTGGAGAACTCTAGACCTTGCTCATGATTGGTACAAATGTCAATGCAGACGGTGAGAAATTCGGAGTAGGTAATGGAGTTGGTCGGGATCTGTTTCAACGCAGATCTCACCTTCTGCAACTGGGAAGACCTCATGATTTTCCTTGCGTCGTTCACGGATATTCCGAAGGAATTGGCAGAAACCGTTGGATTTCTTAGATCGTCAAGCCTGAGTCGTTCTCCACCAGAAATTTTCAACTTCTCCCTCAATGTCTCCCCAATAGGAAGGAAAAACAACTCCGGCAAGTTCAGTGTCGACGACTGGTTAATTTTTCTCCGTTGAAGGAATCGGCGGAAGAATCCTCCGGCTTCAATGGCGGTAGATGACTTTTCCGGTAACATCAAAGGCTTACGATGAAAATATGATTTGGCGGCATTCAAGGCAGTGTTGGTCGGTGTTTGATCTTTGATGAGATGTTTTGCTAGAGTTCTACGAAGCGCCATTGCTAGCTAATTGAGGTTTTGAGTTGTGGTAGTTGATGAGAGTTTGGTTGGTCCGGGTTTTATAGTATCTCAAAAGAAACTATTAATTGACAACTGTTGATGACATCACCAAAGGTTCTTTCATTTGAATTTAACCGTATCATCTTCATTCCGGTAGGATAAATGACCCGTAAACCACTTCTAACTATTTAGATGATTATCTATATCTTACTATCTTACAAAGCATTTGATTAAAATTCTTAAAAACTCTTAAAAACTCTTAAACCCGTTTATCATAAACGATTTCATCCATATCCGATTTCATCTCATATTTGAATTCATGTAACTAACTGCAGATAAACACAATCAAATACAGGATAAACATCTCATTTTAAATATAAAAAATCTAAAATATAATTGGTATAATCATTAAATTCTAACAGAATACTTAATTATTATTTTTATGAAATTTATAATATTAAACCAAAAATAAATTGTTTTATTAATAAAATTAAATTATATATTAATAAGTTTGATGTTTGAATTCGTATAAATAACTGCGGATAAACATAATCAAATAGAGGATGAACATCTCATTTTAAAATATAATTATGATAATTATCAAATTCTAACAAAATAATTAATTATTATCATTATAAGAAATTTGTATTATCAAACCAAATATAAATTACTTCGTCATTTAACCTAAATTAAATTATAATGAAAAATTTGAATTAAAAGTTACACAAAATATGAGGATTTTAAATAGTTAATTTGATACTAATATCGATATATTTTTGTCAAATTTTTATGGTATCTTCAAATTTATATTTTATTAAAAACTAAAAACATCATCGTTTTTTCAAAATCACATAAGTCCATATTATAACATCGACTGAAATAACTAATAAACTGAAATATTAAAATCAAGATGTATCTCGCTGCATTACGCGAGTACCCTTCTAGTTATATTATAAAGCATTTGACAAAAACTCTTAAAAACCATTTTTTATGGATAAAGTACTGTTTATTAATACATGTTACTTAAAACTCAAGATTACAAGTAGATTGTACATAAGTACAACTTATTAAAGCTCCATATCTGAATTCATGTAACTAACTGCAGATAAATATAATCAAATACATGATAAACATCTCATCTTAAATATAAAAATATAAAATATAATTAGATTAATCATTGAGTTCTAACAAAATACTTAATTATTATATTTATAAAATGTTATATTGTTAAACCAAAAATAAATTATTTCATTATTAAACTTAAATAAAATTATAATAAAAAAATAAATTAAAGAAATTACATAAAAAATGAGAATTTTTAAATAGTTGATTTGATATTAACATTGATATATATTTTTTTTTCAAATTTTTATGATATTTTCATATTTATATTTTATTCAAAAAAATAAAATCATTATTGTTTTCTTAAAAACACATAAAATCGTATTATAACATCAACAAATACAAAGAATAAAATAAAACATTAAAATCGAGATGTTTCTCGCTGCATTGTGCGAGTACTCTTCTAGTATGATCTAGTACAATTTATTTGTTATTAGTTATTCTGTTTTAATTTAATATTAACTAGAAGGGTACTCGCGTAATGTAGTGAATATAAATCTCGATTTTAATGTGTAGTTTTATTATTTGTCTCTATCGATATAATACGAGTTTTTGTGATTTTGAGAAAGCGGTAATGTTTTTATTTTTGAATGAAATATAAATTTGAAAAGAAAATAAATCTATACTAGTATCAAATTGATTATTTAATAGTTCTCGTTTTTTTGTGTAATTTCTTTAATTCAATTTTTTATTATAATTTAATTTAGATTTATTAACAAAACAATTTATTTTTGATTTAATAATATAATTTTTTATAAAGATAATAATTAAACATTCTGTTAGACTCGATGATTATCTTAATTATATTTTAGATTTTATACATTTAAAATGAATATTTATCTTACATTTGATTATGTTTATCTGCCGTTAGTTATACGAATTTAAAAATGGAGCTTTAATAAGTTGTATTTAGGTAAAATTATTTGTAATCTTAAATTTTAAGTAATATACATCAATAAACAATATTTCATATATAAAAAATGATTTTTAATTTTTTTTATTAAATGCTTTATAATACAGTCTGATTTGGAAAATTAATACGAGTATATTTTAATTCTTTACCCAGTGACATTTGATAGGGAAAGAGAAGGATGAAGTTGGTTAATTTAGATAATCTCACAAGAATTAGATCCCATTTGTCCCCTTCCGAGTTGTCTCACCAATAGTTCATTTTTGGGTAATTTAAAGTCCAGTTATATATTAATTCTAGAATTACCATCTGCTTTATGTATTTGAGCCTTCTTGACCATAACAAGATTTTTATTTCTTCTTAGATTTGAACCTGAAACCTTCATACACTTTTGACATTTGGAGCCCAAATTTAAACCAATCATGCACCACCCTTGTGGTTAACAAATTAGATTTCATATCATTTGAAACATCATATAACCATATTTTCCCAACAATTATTCGTTAATAAGTTGTTACAGAAGATAATGTCATGTATGTCTTGACTACAAAGGAAGTGGTTGCATTACTATATTGCATAGTGTAAAAAGATTTATGGTCATTAACAATGTTATGATTATGATTTGTGTTATAGTGTCTTTAGACATCAAGACGTCAAAATCTGAATTTAGGTTTTAATGATAAGTAATAATAATACAAAAAAAACAATACATTAAAGAATAAAAAATGGAACTTTTCGTTAATATTTTATTTATTTTATATTATGTAAATAAATCTATATTCATCTCTAAGAAACGGTAAAAAAAATAATCCGAAACCGATGGTGAAAATCGAAAACTGGAACTTTCGGATCGGATTCGGGGACATCTTATCGGGACGGGGCAAGGATCGGGGTTAAAATTCGGGGATTTTGACGGGGATGGGGACGGGGATCACCGGCCGGCCTGCCCCGATATGTGTATATTAATTTATATATATATATATATATATATATATATATATATATATATATATATACTAGGTTTGATCCCGTGTATTATACGGGGTAATTTGAAAAAAATTAAATCATGTCAGGAACTTATCTTACAGATATGAATGATCATTAAAAGTATGATGTTATTTCAGACTTGTACTCTTGAAATAACTCTGAAGTATAACTCTGAAAAATGACTCTTTAGACTTGAATTTAGAAATGAAACTATATCAATAATTAGTTAAAATGAAGTTAACTCTAGAATAAAATTAAATGTGTTATTTTGAACAAATATAGACATATTTTTGGCCAAAAAAAACCTTTTATAGCCGACATGTTAACCAACAAAACTCGCCTTACAGAACTCCTTGACAACATCAACAAGTGATAGTTGAAAGCTGTCATGATAAGCTGAAAGCTGCCTCTTCAGTGATAGCTGAAAGCTGTCACGATAAACTGAAAATACAAGCTGAAGACTGTCAGCAATAACATGTCAGATTAGTTGAAGACTATCAGCAATAAGTTGTTAGATTAGCTCAAGAAAATTAGTTTAAACTAAATCTCGTTTAGTAGGGAAATCAGTTAAACCACGATAAAAAAAAGATACATTTTTAGAGGGACATATATCAACCAAATAGGCCTCTTTGAACCACTAACGTAAATTCTGTCTGAATACATGTTTAGGCGGAAAAATAAGATAACCGACTCATCAGAAGATGACACGTGTCACCTAAGTTACTTATTTATTATGTGTATAGATATATCATTAAAAGAAAATAATAACATTAAAATTTAAAAGATTTTTATCCACCTTACTCCAACAACCCAAATAATGCTCACGAAAAAATCTAGTTTATTTATCTAATCATGAAATCGTGATTTTAGTTGTACAATGTTTGAATTTCTATTTAGTTTTATATTGTAATCTAATACATTGTTTGTAATTGGTTCAATTATGTTTGAAACATTTAAACTTACATATTTAAAATATATATATATATATATATATATATATATAATCTACTTTTAGTTGTGAAAATTAACATATTGCAATTTTTTTAGATCGGTTTCGGGTTTCGGTTCGGTTATAACCAACGGTGAATGGGAAAAAAGAGGATTTTTACCCTTAACGGGGATTGGGAAAACCATGGGGACCCGATGGAGATCCTTGATAAGATCCCCGATGGGGATTGGGGCGGTTACGGAAACGGTTTTAGTTATCGGTTTCAAAGACGGGAATACCAATAACCAGTCCGAAACCGGCCCGTTTGAAGACTATATTATATTATGGATTTAATATAGATATTTGTATGCAGAAAAGAAATACAATATTTTATTGGGAGAAGGGCATATTTGGCAAAGTGAAGAATCCCCCAATCAAGTAGGAGTGGGGAATCTTATGTGGATGTTGGATTCCATTTTGTTGGAAGTCTACTAACCCCATTTACCCTTCCTTCACTCAATGAACGCAACATTGTTGTCTTCTTTTCCTTTTTCTTTTTTCTAAATAAAAAATTAATATAATTAGAAATAGGAAAAATATAATCTATTTTTATTTAATTTTAATTTTATTACATAATTTATATACTACAATTTTATCTGGTAAAATATATTATAGTATTGATTCCTACCGATAAGCACTTACCATGTAAGTATTTGGGTAAACGACCCCTAAATAAAACTCATAGTTTTTTTAATCTTTTAAATTAATTCTATTCATGATTCTATACTTTTTTTAAACTTTATTTGTTTAAAATGATATTTATTCCCCCAACAGTTTATATCATTATGATTCGAGTGCAATCCTAATATATACGTGACATAAGCTTCATAATCCAAGTGGAGCCAATGATGCGATCTTGGTGGCATCAAATTCATGTCCAACCTTCGATAAACATTCTTTAAAAAATATCAAAATATTCTAAGTATATGATGCTATAAAACCGATACACATAGAATTTGGAGTTAAACATCACACGATAAATGATTTTTTTAT